TATGAACTTTTGACTTCCCTGTCCAATCTTATAATAAGCCTTTCTCAGGACATAAGCAAATGTTGTTTGTCTTTTCACTTGAATGTAATCACCATGTCAATCAAAAGAATGATTATGAAAGCAATATTATTATTATCATGGTTACAGATTTGAATTAGAATTTGCTTCTCCTGAATTTCACACAGGAATTTGCGTTGGCATACAACAGCTGCTCCCTTCAAAATGGCACAGGCTTGCTCAATGTCCACGCTTCATTTAGGTCACAGCACGGGAGCTGATAATATTTAACAACGTCCACTATTAGACCATGACCTTCATTTCCGCATAACTGGATAGAAAGTTTCATCTGTATGCATCAGAACATTTTTAAGCTTGTTTAACTTAAACAACTATAACATTTATTTCAGAACCTAGGGGGAGGCCAAGTTTATAATTTTACCCTTCCAGCTGAACAAAGCATTTGCCCTACCCAGAAAAAATAAATCAGTTGGCAAGAAATTGTTTTAAATAGATTTTTCACACTTTATTCCAGCTGTAGCTTTAACTCATTATGTTTGATCCATTTATCAACAATATTTGGAGAGAGGTCCTCTGTGCTATATGCCCATTTCCTAATATTGTACATGAAACACTAAAGCTTTGTAGCCGCAGACTTTCAACAGCATATAGATATTGGCATTGCGGCAAAAAACATGAATTTTATTATACAAACGTTTAAAAGCACAAAAACACACTGCACTGGCCAAAATATTAGTCCAGTTTATAAAGGAGACAACTTGCAGGTCTCACAAGACTGCTGGTTGACGCTGGACATTACATGTGTGAGTACACTATTGCTATGGGACTGATTACTTTGGGCCCTGCATTTGATTCATGTGATTTTTTGGATCTTGTGAGACCTGCAAGCTGTCTTACTTATAGACTGTACTATCATTTCGAGTTCTGTAGTCTGTTTTTTGGAATCTCTTTTATGAAGTCTGGGTATCCTTTGGCTTTTTTGTCACTCTTCTGTGGCCCCTTTTGGGAAATTTATGGATTTGCATCAATCTTGTTCCAGAAGACAAAAATATATATGTTGTTCCTAAAAGACTGGGTTTGGTCCTGCTCAAAACTGGCGGGGTTCTGGTCAAGGGATTTTGATCTGCTCCAGATCTTGTTCAACTTGATAGTCCATAAAGATGCTAAGTTGGCCCTGCTGCACTGTCCTATAACAGGTTTATATGCACACTAGCAGAAGCTGGCTACCTACCTCTTTATTTCAGCCAAACAGACCATAGCCCAGGCCTGGAGGATCCCATGCGTTGACTTCCAGGCAGTGAGGATGTGCATGACCACCTTGATTCTCAATGAGCAAATGTCCAGTATAGTGAAAAATTCACATTTCAAATTCCTTAAGGTATGGGAACCATGAATTTCTTACGAGTTTCCGTCAAAGCTTCTGCATCCAAAATGTCCTTTAAATTTCCTCCTCCCTTTCTCCTCTTGCTATTATTGCTCCTTTGTTTGTTTTTCCTTTTCTGGTCTCTCTCTCTCTCATTCATAGGGCAATGGTCCCTTGGGGCTGGCTCCCTGCGGGAGACCACTCCCAAGGTGATCATACTAAGGCCTTGGGGATATGGCTTCCTGTTATTTTTGTTCTCAGCCGTTACCCCTAAGATTCAATATTTATTGATATCAGCTACTATCATATCAGCCCTTGCTGATTTTTCTCCCTCTGTAATACTAATCATTGATTAGCCCCTGTGTGGGAAATTATGTGCCTGTTCTTGGTCTTGTCATGTAACAATACAAACACTGCAACAGAAGGAACTGGGTTCAACTATATGGATTCTATTCACATGTGCTCCTAAAGAAGATGATCATTCGAAACACGTTGAGCTGCCATGTGGATTGCTTGATAGAAAAGATATGTGAACCCTGTAGTGTACATGATGTCTATATGTGCTTTTAACATTTAGTAAATAAAATTTAAGATTTTTTTAAATTTTTGATGTAGTGCCAATGTCTATATGCCCTTGAAAGTCTGTGGCTACAATGCTTTAGTGTTTTTTATTCCATTTAGCCTTTGGAAAAAAATGTTAGTAATTATAAACCTACATAGTTATCCATAGAAACCAATATTATATGAGCTTTCAACCATTTAAGAAGGAGCAAAAATTTTGCTGTAGGTTACCACTCCACTAAAGTGGACATTGGCCCCAAATAAATGGCACTTAACCTGCTACCCACAGGAGCACAATTGGGAAGTGGGGAGAGAAGGATTTATCCGATGACAGGAAATGCATGGAAATGCATGGACAAGGAACTTCACATGGTCTACATCTAGTGTTGGTTGCACAAGGTGTACCCCAGGTTATCCACGATTCACTATAACACAGCCTGAAAAAGGGTTTGCCTACTTACATACTAGGAAACTTTACTTGGTCACAAAGTTTTTCAGAGTCTTTCATCATGTCACATCAGCAAAAGTATAGCTGGTTGTTAAATAATAAATACAAAGGAGAAAAAAACGGTTCCCAAAGCAATACGCAATTAATTTTTTTTTAGATGCACATATTTGTCCTTGTCTTTTTTACATTTAATATACAAAAACAGGCATAATTTTGCTAGTATGACCTCATGGAGGATTTCAATAGAGGAATATGTATACATTATTGTTTTCAGGCCAGTGTCTGTCTTGTAGAATTGCTATCAGGAAAACAGGTGGGTTAATTACTGATTGAGCTAAGCAGCTAGCTTCCCATGTGCTCTTGTAAACAGATCTGTAAAACATGCACAGTTTGGGAGGCCCAAAGACAAGATTGAGAGTCTACACACATGTGCCAAAATCATTAACCTCTTTGGATTGTATCCATTACGTACCAACTGTTGTTCCAAACTCATTTCCTGCAATTACAGTATGAAGTAGATGATTAATAATAATAATTCTAGCTTTAAGTGGACCTTTCTCCTCTTCAACTAAAAACTACATCAGCATACAGCTCTGCATGTGGATATGAAAAGATCTTGCATTCACTAGTTCAACAAATATTTTTTGCTTCTATTTACAATTACAGTTTTTCACTTCCTGGTTAAGCGGGGCACTGGTGATGTAACTCACAAATGGGAAGTTCCTGTCACATGTTCCAGGAGGCAGGCCCTCAGTTCCAGGAAGTAAAGGGAGATGGCCTCGGTGAGAAGAATTGGGAGGAAAAGAAAATTAAGGCAGGTAAAGAATAAAATGACTGCAATTATCTGTAAGTATCTGTCTGTCGATTGTCATTATTAAACATTTCTAAAGGTGCCTTTGTTGTCTTTTATGAGGGCAAAGTTCCTCTTTAGACACTTTCATCGTTCTGGGTGGACGTCATATGACATCCTTTCGAAATGAGCCGCGCTTTGGCACAATCTGCCATTGGCTGTGTTCACCGGACACAGACTATGAAAGCTCACTCTACTGGGCCACTGCTGGTACCATGGGATCGCTGTGTGCAACTGTGTTGCTAGCTGTGATTGGTCACAGTGACCACATGGTACACACAGGGCCAATCACAGCCCAGAAAAATTTGATAAAAATGTTGTTACTGTGGAAACACGTATATGATATAAGCAGCTGCCTGCTCACCTGAAGAAAGTTAAACACTAATCATGAAAAAACAGCCCCTAGGAAAGCACCCCAGGGACACAGCAGAATATAGCACCCTACAAGGCTTGTACCAGCTAATTGATCCAACATGTAGACAAAAGAGGGAGAAAAAAATTATTAAGAAAAATTCTAATTATTTATTGGAATATCAAAATACAACAATTCACAAAATCATATAAACCCTCCCCTCTAAATGTCAAAACCACATTCCTGCATCATAGAAATAACCATAAAACAAGACAACGTTGTCTACATCATGAAGAAGCTCGTATTGGCCATACGCATGATGTGATTGGCTGACAGTTCGGAACCTCCCAGACCATTCCCACCCACCTTGCAAACCGTGACTTGGAAGCAGACAGCTGATCAACCTTCATGAGCTGTTTAAAATACTGGCAGGAAATGCTGTGAGCTGAAGAATCACACATCTCTGGGCTGCAGTTGAAGCAGGACAAGCACATCATTTTTTCCCTTCTTGTGTCTACATGTTGGATCAATTAGCTGGTAAAGCCTTGTGGGGTGCTCTATACCACTGTGTCCCTGGGGTGTCTTCCTAGGGGCTGTTTTTTCCAATCACAGCCCATCTGTACCATGTGATTAGTTGTGACCAATCACAGCTAATGACAAAAATACATACTGAATGAATCAATTCCATTCACTAAAAATGGTTGCTTATACCAGTGAAATTCACTGGTATAAGCAATCATAATGTGTAACATTGTATTGCTCTGGTCAGAGTGGGATTTATTTACTAAAGCTGGTTCACTCAGAATCTTGTGAACTTCTGCATAGAAACCAATCAGCTTACAGGTTTTATTGCTAAAGCTTAACCACTTGCCTACCAGACACTTATACCCCCTTATTTACCAGGCCAATTTTCAGCTTTCAGCGCTGCCGCACTTTGATTGACAATTGCGCGGTCATGCAACATTGTACCCATATGAAATTTTGATCATTTTTTCTCACAAATAGAGCTTTCTTTTGGTGGTATTTAATCGCCACTGAGCGCTTTACTTTTTGCGCTATAAATAAAAAATTGCAAAAAATTTGAAAAAAAAAAATTTTTTTTCTTTGTTTCTATTATAAAATTTTTCAGACAGGTAATTTTTCTCCTTCACTGATGTGCGTTGATGAGGCAGCACTGATGGGCACTGATAGGTGGCACTGATGGGCACTGATAGGCGGCACTGATGGGCACTGATAGGCAGTACTAATGAGGTGGCACGGATAGGCGGCACTGATAGACAGCACTAATGAGGTGTCACGGATAGGCGGCACTAATATGCAGTACTGATAGGCAGCACTGATAGGTGACACTGATGATGGGTACTGATAGACGGCACTGACTGGCATCACTGCTGGGCACTGACTGGCGGCACTGACTGGCACAACCGCTGGGCACTGACTGGTGACACTGACTGGCAGCACTGGTGGGTGGCACTGGTGGGTGGCACTGGTGGGCGGCACTGGTGGGTGGGCACAGGTGGGTGGCACTGGTGGGTGGGCACAGGTGGGTGGGCACAGGTGGGTGGCACTGCTGGGCACAGGTAGGTGGCACTTCTGGGCACAGGTGTGTGACACTGCAGAGTGGCACAGGTGGGTGCACTGCTGGGCACAGGTAGGTGCACTGCTGGGCACAGGTGGGTGATCTGCTGGGCACAGGTGGGTGATCTGCTGGGCACAGGTGGGCGGAGCTAGTGGGCACACTGCTGGGCACAGGTGGGCGGAACTTGCGGGTGGCACTGCTGGGCACCGAACATCAGGGCACTGATCATCAGTGCCCTGATGATCGGTGCCGATCCCCGCTCTGACAACTGCCGGTTCTCGGCAGTACTTTCCTCACGATCTGACAGCGTGAGGAAAGTGCAGCCGAGAACCGGAACTTGCATTTCCCTCTGATCAGCGTGTCATTGGACACCGCTGATCACGTGGTAAAAGGCCGCTGTGATTGGCCTTTTACCACATCACGTGATCAGCTGTGTCCGTAGGACACAGCGATCACGGAGATCGCCGGGTGTGCGCCCCCTGGGGCGCGCAGGAGAGCGCGTTCTGGGAGGACGTCATATGACGTCCACTCAGAACTGGCCGGCCGCAGTGCAGCCGTCATTTGGCTATCTGCGGTCGGCAACAAGTTAATTGAACAAGCTGGGATTAGAAGCTGATTGTCTACCATGCACAGGTGCACAATATTTTGAGTGAACCAGCTTTAGTAAATAAACCCCAGTGTGTTAAAAAAAATAAAAAAAAAATTGGGGAAAAAAATAAATAAACATAAAATAAAAATGTAAAAGATTTTTTTTCAACATACTGTCTTCGGTCAGTGTCTGTGATCACTGCTGCGCCAGTTATATGACACTCTACTGCACTGGTGATTGTATGTTAAAAAAAAGTAAAATTGCAACTTCAAAAAGCTAGCTATCCCACTTACTAAATACCTGGGGTCATTTGGGGGATATTTGTACTGTCCTCACATTTTTCAGCGTCAAGAAATGAGATAGTACATCAGGATTGATCGATTTTGAGATATATACCATAGATGGTGGACTCTTTCCTACAGACTAAATAATAAAAACACTGATTTGGGTTATTTTCACCAAAGAAATGTAGCAGAGTACATTTTGGCTTACATTTTTGAAGAAAGATTTTTTATTTGCAACATTTCATAACAAAGAAAAGCATTATTTTTTAAAATGTTCTTTTTTATATATAAAAAAAAATTAAAACCCAGTGGTGATTAAATATCACCAGTACAAAGCTCTATTTGTGTGAAAAAAAATAGATATAAATTTAATATGGGTACAGTGTTGCATGACTGCGCAATTGTCATTCAAAGTGTGACAGGGCAGGAAGGGGGGTGAAAATGGCCAGTATTGAAGTGGTTAAGGTGAACCTGTCAAGGCTGTAGGCATCTGTTAAGGTTCCCATTTAGATCTGACGGCTGCCACAGCACACCTTACACAGCGGTCTATGAAGCCTTTAGCGCCCAATAAGATCCTTGAATGTGCCATATGTTAGTATATCTAAGAACATTATAATCTCTCACATGACTCCATATGTTTTAAATTAATGCACTGCATGATTCTCTGAACATAAACTGTTAAAGTGTTTAGGTAGTAAAAAAAAATGAAATATAAATATAAGACATATGAAAGACATATTAAAAACTGTAAATATGTAAAAGTTAAAATGTTGGTACACACAACAAAGGATGGTACAAACCTTTTTGATTATTGAATAGCTATTTTTATTTTTGATATCTTATTTTTATTTGTTTTGTGTTTGCAGTTGTGTTATATAATCCTATTCATTGTTGTATACAGAATAAGGGCTTACAGAGGCATTGAAGGAGCACACAAGCCTACTAGGCATCTAGATGCATTTCCTGGCTTATAGGTTTTCCTACAAAGAGTGAACTTGCAGTATCTACAGACTGCAGGGGGATGAACTGACATAATGAGATTGATTTACAAAAGAATAGGAATTGTTCACTGTGCAAAATGAATATCCACTAAACTTAGTAAATGCGATGAATCTGTGTTACATCAACCAACCAACCAAGCAGAAACCCTGTTATTTTGACTCCCTTTGCATATGATAACCCAAGAGAGACTTATTTACTATCATTCACTTTGCAAAGTGAATGCACTATATGCTTTTCATTCTTTTTCAATATTTTTATTAGAAAGAGTTTTTGAACAATATAACAGGCTCATGATATGCCCAGGCAGGGGCAGAGCTGAGCAAAAACATACAAAAGCAGATACAGAAGTGTGTATTAACCAGTCAGCACAATGCCAAACAGCACCAAAGGGGAATGGCAGAAAAATAAAACCAAGCAATATCAACAGCGTTCCGCCATCCTTTCTAAGGCAAAAACCACTACCGAGAAGTATCAACTCGGAAAAAATAAAAGAGAGATATAAAATGGAAGAAAAGAAAGAGAGTCATAGGAAATTGAAGAGAAACAAAGAAGGGAGAAAAAATAAAAAAAAATTAAAATAAATAAATAAATCACAGATCCAGGACCAGCATGGGCAATGACTACAGGAGGCCATAACTAGTGGGAGGTAAGGATGGAAGGAATCATTTATCCAAGGTTCCCAAACCTTAAGGAATCTCAGATGGGAATCCTGGAGAATGCTGGACATCGTTTCATGCACTGTATGCTTTTCAAACAGAATATTAGTTTTGCTAAGTGAAGAGCCTCTACTCTATTATTTAAATCAATCCCAAATTTGATACATTTACAATTTAAAAGGATACAATCGCTGTCCAACATTTACCAGTAGTGCTGGAACGTTTACCTGAAAGTCTTTTTTGATGTTTCTTTAACACATTTACTTTCCTGCTCTGCATTTTCATGATAATATTTCATACAGACATTTGTTGGACCTACTTTTAGTACCTTCATGTTATACAATGTTGTTAGTTTGCCTGCTCAAAGACTGACCAGTACAGGAAAACAACAACTAGACTATGTAATGTTTCCAATTTCAACAGCTTACAGATAGCCTTGATAGGTGGATAGGCTTGAGCTATAATACACAACACTAAGTATGTAATAAAGTGCAGCACTGATAAGCAATGTTAAATCTAAATATCTAAATATGTAGCAAGCAAATATGGCTGTCAATAGATATAGAAATAATCAAAGTGCATTAGGGTTGTCAACTCATTCCTTTAAAATGAAAGGCATAGGAATTATGCAGAGTACTTAGCCGACTAAGATGTTAATTATATTCCCTTATTAACCACCTTCCGCCCGCCCTATAGTACAATGACAGGCGCAAGGTGGTTCTCTCGTTCTGATAGCACGTCATATGACGTCCTACCATTCTCACTGCGTATGCGCGGCGACAGCCGGTGCGCTGTGTCCCTCGGACACAGCGGATCACGGAAAGAGCCGAAGATGTCGGCTCGGTCATGTGATCAGCTGTGTCCAATCACAGCTGATCACATGTAAACACGGAAATGCCAGTTATCGGCATTTCTCTCCTCTCAAGCTGTCACGCTGACAGCTCGAGAGGAGAGGAGAGCCGGTAATCGGCTTTCCGCGGAGGGGACATGTACACTGATCATCAGGGCACTGATGATCAGTGTGCCCTGATGATCAGTGTGGCCCCAAAAGTGCCATCTGTAAGTGCTCATCAGTGCCACGTGCCAGTGCCCATCAATGCCACGTGCCAGTGCCCATCAGTGCCACATCAATGCCACATATCAGTGCCCATCTGAGCTGCCTTTCAATGTCACCCATAAGTGCCAGTCAGTGCCACCTATCAATGCCAATCAGTGCCACCTATCAGTGCCAGTCAGTGTCGCCTATCAGTGCCAGTCAGTGCAACAGTGCCAGCAGTGTCGCCTAAGTGCAGTCAGTGCCGCCTATCAGTGCCATCGGTGATGCCTATCCGTGCCACCTATCAGTGCCATATATCAGTGCCATGTATCAGTGCTGCCTTTCAGTGCCCATCAGTGATGCCTGTCAATGCCCATCAGTGAAACCTACCAGTGCCTCCTCATCAGTGCCCATCAGTGCCACCTATCAGTGCCCATCAGTGCAGCCTATCAGTGCCCATTACTGCAGCCTCATTAGCGCACATCAGTGTAGGAGAAAAATCACTTATTTACAAAATTGTATAACAAAAACTAAGAAAAAACTTTTTTTTTCAAAATGTTCAGTTGTTTTTGGTTTGTTTAAGAAAAAAAAAAAAAATCCCAGAGGTGATTAAATACCACCAAAAGAAAGCTCTATCTGTCTCAAAAAAATGATACAAATTTCATATAGGTACAGTGTTGCATGACCGCGCAATTGTCATTCAAAGTGTGACAGCGCTGAAAGCTGGAAATTGGCCTGGGCAGGAAGGGGGTATAAGTGCCGTGTAGGCTAGTGGTTAAATTATCTGCACTTGTTTAGCAATATAGCCTGTAAAATTCCTATGTGTTCACTTTTAGACCTTGTCAACACAAGCTTCAGCTTGTATAAGAGCAGTGTGAATAGCGAGCATGTACAAAGCATTTGCTCTGTTGAAGCCTTTAGGCCTCATTTACACTTCTGCTTGGGAAAGGGGGGGAGGTGTTGGTAAAATATGAGACTGACCCACGTTTTTACTGGCCCTCCTCCCTCTTATGCTGCAAAGGAAGTAGAGGGGGAGTAGATATGCTTTGCATTGCAGTGTGGTAAAAATGATCCCTGCTGTCATGTTCAGAGAGCAAAAACGCCTACTAAATGTGACAAATTCAATTGAATGGGGCACCTCAAAGCCACCCCGCAAATGTGTGCAATGGACACAGTTGTGGTGTGCTAGTACAGGGTTTAGGGGTTGAAACTGGGGGTGAGGAGGCCATATAATACCTCCTCACCCCCTGTCAAATGCTTTCTGAAGAGAGTTCCGAACGCTAATCGCACTTCAGAGAGCAATGTTAATGTGCGCTAGCCCTTAAAACACTTCATAAATGTTAAACACATGCTGACTACATTCATGGTCCCCCTAGGTAATTGGTGCTAAACTACCATCTAAAAGCTTGTCCTAGTGTTAACATTCCAAACTGAACTGAAATCTTCTTCAACCAGTCTTGCACCCATGCTACATATGCCCTGAATGTTCCCAAAGTAGAATGACTGTCCCTCCCCTCAATGCCACTCTCCTCATAATTTTACCAGCAATTCAAATGTCAAAATGTCAGTTGGGGTTTGCTGTGTAAATAGATCAGCTAGTTTAAACTACTGCTGTCAAAAACAGACCTTCTGATCAGTGTGTGTTCACAATATTAAGTAATGTGATTAAGAGATACAAAGTAACATTATTGTGGGGGGGGGGTTGTTTCAAATGACAATATATTCAATGACAAGCTTCCTAAACATAGTTTGTGCTCACGGTATGGTCACCTACTGATTTGTCAGAAGCCACAGACAGCTTAAGTCTTCAATAAGACACAAACATTTCAGCAGGGCACATTACAGTAGTAGAGTAGTGTCCTTCACATGAAGAGTGGTGCAGGGAAGCTGTTGTGAGTTCTAATCTGGCGTACTGTTCCCTGCCAGCCCTCCTCTCTAGTCCACCCCATATGATGGAACATACAAAGACCTGGGATGGGCAGGGGGAGGACTGGCGGGGAGCAGTGGAGATGCTTGATGTTGCCTCCATGAGCCGCTCTGCATGCGGTGGAGGAGCATTTCCTAGCATGGGCTAAGTGGAGATGCAATCTACCCATTACTTGTCTGCAATTGACAGGTACATCGCTGCAGAACCCGTGGGGATTTCTCACAGAGCCCCAGTTGTGAAACCTTGGTATACAATATAGTGTTTTCTTTCAATCTTGAAGTTATATATTGTAAGTTCTATATTATTTAATATAAGTATCGAATGTTGCATACCATTGTTTATAAAAACACATTCACACATTATGAATTTTTGCATTTTTTGTATCTACTTTGAAATGTTGCCCTGTTTGCAAGGATTATTGTTCAAATTCCTACTTTACAGTTTTGCTTTATGAAAAAAAGATGAAAAATCAGAGAGAAACAGATTTTTTCGGCCAGAATCTGTTGGTTTGCATATATACAGCGTAATCTTATACATATGTGCCATCAATCCACTCCAACGATCAAAGATATAACCTTTTTACTTAATTATACTAGGATGGTAGATAGATATCGTTATGCAATACATGTGTGTACTACTCAAAATACACAATTTTGCTGATCTCCTATTACAGAAACTGTGCTGTTGATTAACATGGTGTAGTAGTCGGGATAGGCAGCACCATATACAATGTGAGAGTGCTGGACATTTGGAAAATGGGCAAAACTATTTGGGTATATTTAGCTATTTCAGTCGCTAAAATGCCCCTTTTGCTTATTATTTGCCTTATACAATTTCCAAAACATATATTATAATTATATGATTTAAAGTGTATCTAAACCCAAGAACAAACATTTAGGGCCACATCACATCTTAGAGGTGAGGAGTTTTGCACTAATACAGCTACAGTTGTGTTCAAAATAATAGCAGTCAGACATCACTAACCTGATCAATCACTGTTTGGTAGAAATGATATTTCTACATGGCAAATAATTTACTAGCAGGTGTAGTAGAGTAATAGAAATCCAACAGACCCAACAGTCATGACATGCATGCTGCTGATTCTGTGTAATTGAATCACGAATTGAAAGGGGCATATTCAAAATAATAGCAGTGTGGAGTTCTATTAGTGAGGTCATTCATTCTTTGAAAAAACAGGTGGCAATTACTGCCCTTATTTAAGGAAGGGAGGCAGCAAATGTTGTACATGCTGGTTACAGTGCATTTCTCTCTGAAATTCTGAGGAAAATGGGTCGTTCCGGACATTGTTCAAAAGAACAGCGTACCTTGATAAAAAAGTTGATTGGAGAGGGGAAAACATATAAAGAAGTGCAGAAAATGATTGGCTGCTCAGCTAAAATGATCGCAAATGCTTTAAAATGGCAACCAAAACCTGAAAGACGTGGAAGAAAGTGAAAAACTACCATTCGAATGGATAGAAGAATAGCCAAAATGGCAAGGACTCAGCCAACAATCAGCTCCAGGAAGATCAAAGAAGGTCTAAGGTTACCTGTGAGTACTGTTACAATTAGAAGACGCCTATGTGAAGCCAAGCTATCTGCAAGAAGCCCCTGCAAAGTCCCACTGTTGAAAAAAACACATGTGCTGAAGAGGTTACAATTTGCCAAAGAGCACATTGACTGGCCTAAAGAGAAATGGCGCAACATTTTGTGGACTGATGAAAGTAAGATTGTTCTTTTTGGGTCTAGTGGCCAGAGACAGTTTGTCAGACGACCCCCAAACACTGAATTCAAGCCACAGTACACTGTGAAGACAGTGAAGCATGGTTGTGCAAGCATCATGATATGGGAATGTTTCTCATTCTATGGTGTTGGGCCTATTTATCGCATACCAGGGATCATGGATCAGTTTGAATACATTAGAATACTTGAAGAGGTCATGCTGCCTTATGCTGAAGAGGAAATGCCCTTGAAATGGGTGTTCCAACAAGACAATGACCCCAAACACACCAGTAAACGTGCAACATCTTGGTTCCAGACCAACAAGATTGACGTTATGGAGTGGCCAGCCCAATCCCCGGATCTTAATCCAATAGAAAACTTGTGGGGTGACATCAAAAATGCAGTTTCGGAGGCAAAAGCAAGAAATAGAGAAGAACTGTGGAATGTAGTCCAATCATCCTGGGCTGGAATACCTGTTCACCCTGTTCACAGGTGCCAGAAGTTGGTTGACTCCATGCAACACAGATGTACAGCAGTTCTCAGAAACAGTGCTTATACAACTAAATATTCATTAAGTGATTCAAAGGAAAGCAAAATGTTCAAACATTTCTCAGTTTATATAGTGAATGTTTGAGTTTGTAAAGAAGAATACAAACATTCTATTTTTTTGAACAGTCTAATATTCACTTTTCTTCAATTTTTTTTAGAGGAACAACACAAATTTGATCTATTTTTCTTCATGTTTTGATTTGGAATAGAATGTGTAGTGTTCCCAATGCATTTGTGTGTATGGAAATAAAAGCTATTAGAAGGATTTTGAGCTTTATTCACTTTTTTCAACACACTGCTATTATTTTGAACACAACTGTATGTTAATGTGCATGTTAAGGCAGCCAATTCAAGTGCGTGGGCTGGTAATGTGTGTCCAAGAAAATGGACGTTAACCATTTTGGAAACCGCAGCACACCACTATGCATGATAGTGTGTTACCATGCCCTGTTGTGAGCTGCAATGTGTATTGGAGCTGTATTGCATTGGGGTGTTATTGAGAAATTAGTGGCACCACAATGCACTATACAAGTAAAATGCTTTTTTTAAAGACTTTTTTCTTTTATTTTCGCCCGGTAATCATGTCAGTAATTCACTTCCTGTCCAAGGGGACAACACTTACTCTGGTACTTGGGCTGCTTAATACTAAATGTGTGTTACAGAACACCCCTCATTACATGCGGGGGCATTTGTTAGATCATAGAGGAGAATTGAGTGGTGGTAATGTCAGTGCTTGTAAATCATAGAAAACAGTGTAGCGCTCTTAAAGAACTGTGTCTGATACACAATAATAATTCCTAAAAATAAATAAATCAATATAAAATAATATAATATACAATAGTGACAAAAAATAAGTGCCAAACTAAGATTCCGAAAAAGAAATCTATCACCCATTTAAGAAATACGTGTACCGACATATAAATAATATGTGACTACTATTTCACACAAACATATGGATAGTGTACACACATCTACTAAAATTAAGCCAAAAAATCCAAACTTAATCCAATGAGGGAACTCTTAGCAGTGCTCACACAGTGCCAAAAAAATGAAAATTTATAAATGTGTCCTCCTTGATGAAAGAAAATCTTAAACAATGTCCTTTTGTGGAAATGAATAAAATCATGCAGTGTGCAACAGTGATAATTAAATAAATCCGTGACTGTGCCAAACTCTTCTCCTGTTAATGGCTAGATTGCCTCCTCACCTCCTCCTAATGACCCCAAAGGGGCCAACAGGCTGGCAGGATCACCCTGGATCCTTGATTTATAATGGCCAGCAGCTTCCTTCCTTCCCTGGATCTCCTTTGTGGGGCTCCTAGTGCCCC